AAAAATATTTTTGACCAAAATATTTGATGGCTCTAAGGGTCAAAAGTGCTGAAAAGAAATTAAAAAAGGCAAATTATTCACCTTGGATATAAAATAAAATTAAAAAACACACTAGTTGCCACTGAGTTGATTCCAACTCATGGTGACCCCATGTGTTACAAAGCAGAACTGCACTCAATAGGGTTTTCTTGGCTATGATCTTTCAGAAGCAGATTGCCAGATCTTTCTTCTGAGGCACCTTTGGGTGGGCTCAAACTGCCAACCTTTTAGTTAGTAGTTAAATGCTTAACCTGTGCCACCCAGGGACTTCCTTGGATATAAAACAGGTAGCGTTAAAATTTTTTTAAAAATTAGCCAATGATTTAAGAATTAGTCTATTCATAGTGGGGATTCTGTGTGAAGCAAGTAAGGGTAGACCATCATAATCTCTATACTATATTTTCACTTCAAGAACTTTTACCATGAGACTTAATTTTATACATGTGTAAGTGAATATTTTGAGCCCTATTATCAATAATAAGACAGCGTAGAATTGCCCCATAAGGTTTCCAAGGCTGTAATCTTTATAGAAGCAGAATGCTACATCTTTCTTCCAGGGAGCAGCTGGTGGGTTCAAACCGCCAACCTTCTGGTTAGCAGTCGAGCATGTTAACCACTGCACCACCAGGGCTCCCAATAAGGTTTGATGGTAAATTTGTCATTTTCTCTTTCAATGAATTCAAAGGATCTAAAGGCCAGAGGAACTTTACAGATCTTTTATTTCACTCAATCTGTTCCTTTTATAAATAGGAAATGGAAGCAGAGAGGAGATGACTCACCAGAGGTCTGAACAGCTGCTTAGAAGCAGAGCTCAAGCTAGAGAGATTCGGGGAAATCAGTACAAATGATAGTTTTTTAAAAGAGTTCCTCCCTTTTCTATTAAGTGTGATTATTTTACCTCCAAGGGCCAACTTTTTTCCCAAAGAAATACCTCTTATTTTACAATGTAAATTGACCAGAAAAGAATTCATTCAATACAATCCTACTTCATGGCAAAGAAGCCCTGGTGGTACAATGGTTTGCAATGGTTACAGTGTTCGGCTTCTACTAACTGAAAGGTCGGTGGTTCGAACACACCAGCCGCTCTGTAAGTGAAAAGAGCTGGTAATTTGCTCCCACGGAGATTTTAATGTAGGAAACCCTATGGGGCAGTTCTACTCTGTTCTATAGGGTTGCTATGAGTCAGAATAGACTCGGCACACAACAACTTTATGGCAAACTTTGGTTAAGCTGTAAGGGCTCTGGAGACAGATATCCTTCCAGGTCTGGCTCAGCCACTTTATCAGTCGTGTGACTTTGAGAAGTTATTTTACCTATGTCTCAGCTCCCTTTTCTAGAAAAATGGATATAATTCTTATCTTCTATGATTATTAGGAACCCTGGTGGCACAGTGGTTAACAGCTCAGCTGCTAACCAAAAGGTTGACAACTTGAATCCACCAGCCGCTCCTTAGAAACCCTATGGGCAGTTCTACTCTACCTTATAGGGTTGCTATGAGTTGGAATCAACTTGACCAAACAGGTTTGGTGGTTTGGGTTGGTGGCACAGCGATAAAGCACTAGGCTGCTAACTGAAAGGTTGGCAGATCAAAATCAGCAGTTGTTCTGCGGGAGAAAGATGTGGCAGTCTGCTTCTGTAAAGATTTACAGCCTTGGAAACCCTAGGGGGCAGTTCTACTCTTCTTATAAGGTCACTATGAGTCGGAATTGACTCAATGGCAACAAGTTCATAACAGTAGTAATAATGTTAGTCTCTGTGGTAACACTTTATTGACTTGACAGCGGTGGGTAGGTAAAATAGCCATCCTGTAAGACAGAGTAGAACTGCCCCACAGGGTTTCCAAGGAGCGGCTGGTGGATTCAAGCTGTCGACCTTTTGGATAGCAGCCAAACTCTTAACCTCTGTGCCATCAGGGCTCCATTGCTCTCTATTTAGTGGAAAATATTTGAGTTTCTCTTCTCTGACAGGTTTCCCAGGTTCCTGCTTTTGCAGGTTTTACTGTATGTCAAAAGAGATTGACTTAAGACATACTCTACACTAATAGTGCCTAATTATCATAACAAAGAAAACTTATTCTCAAATGGTATTATAACCACGGGCATAAGGATTAGGATTTACAACACATTTTTGGGGTATACAACTCAATCCATTAACAGTGGTAGAGTCTATCACTGGCCATTTTCTTCCATGGGGGTTTTTGTTAGTAGGGAGTGTGGGCTGAGAATCATGCTTGGTCATAGAGAATGGTGGTCATGCAGGGCTGATGCAACAATCTGGAAACTACAGGGGCTCTAAATGCACAGGTGGTTTCCCCCATAGAACATATGCTGAATTCTGGGGCAAAAGGGGAGGCTAAGAAGTTTTTATTAAGGTAACTGAAATCTCCTATAGTTTCATGGTATTTAGGAGACAAAGTCACCTACTCAAGAACTTTACCCAATTTGGAAGTGGTACGGGGGGAAGGCCAAAAGAGGAAAGCTCAAAACCTCCAAGGGACAGGCTGAACCTCCCTCTGCTGTTTTAGGGCTGAGGGGATAAGAGAACTGCCAAGCTCTCAATCAAAATCTAGGGAGGGACATATCCAAGGGATAGGGAAGAAATGGGGGAAAAGTCTTACTAGAGCCTGCACCTATGCTGTTATCCAGCCCAATCCATAATTGGTTTGAAGTGATCAGTCCTGTACCTTATCTAAAAAAAACAAAAAAACTAAATCCATTGCCGTCAAGTCGATTCCAACTCATAGTGGCCCTATAGGACAGAGTAGAACTGCCCCATAGTATTTCTAAGGAGCAGCTGGTGGATTTGAACTGTTGACGTTTTGGTTAGCAGCAAAGCTCTTAACCACTGGGCACTTTATCTAACAGAGCTAAAAAAAAAAACAAAAAAAAATTCAGTCTCTACGGTTCTTTTATTAACAATATCAGGCATATAATAAAGAATTACTAACGTTTCATAGGCAGGAAAAGGGACTGATAACCAAGATAAAAAAGTAACAACAGAGGCTGACAAAAGATGATCTAGATATTGGAGTTCACAGACAAGGACCTTAAAATAACTATGATTAATTTATTAGTAAAAAAGATGGACAAAATAGATGAAAAGATGGAAAATTTCAGCAGAGAACTAGAATCCTTCAAAATCATCAAATAGGCATTCTAAAACTGGAAAATACAATCTTTGAAATCAAGAAGTTACTAAATAACTTTAACAGCAGATTGGACACGCAGAAGACAGGATAAGCAAATTAAAAAACAGATCAACAGAAAATATCCAAAATGAAGTATACAAAGAAAAATATATGGAAATCACAGACCTGAGTTAAATACCATGAAAAAGTCTAATTTATCTGTAATTGGAGACCCAGGAAGAGAAGAGAAAGAGAACAGGGCAGAAGTGATATTTGAAAAGATAATGGCCAAGAACTTTCTTAGCTGATGAAAAACATTAACTTACAGGTTTAAAAAACTCAGTAAATCCTGTAACAGTATAAATGCAAGGAAAACTAAAACTATTTTGATCAAATCAAACCCCTAAAATTCAAAGACAGAAAGTGTCATGGTTTGAATTATGTCCCCCCCAAAAATGTGTGTATCAATTTGGCTGGGCCATGATTCCCAGAATTGTGTGGTTGGCTTCCATTTTATGATTGTAACTTTATGTTAAAGAGGATTAGGGTGGGATTGTAACACCACCTCTACCCAGGTCACATCCCGGATCCAACGTAAAGGGAGTTTCCCTGGGGTGTGGCCTGCACCACCTTTTCTCTCTCAAGAGATAAAAGGAAAGGGAAGCAAGCAGAGAGTTGGGAACCTCATACCATCAAGAAAGCAGTGCTGGGAGCAGAGCGCATCCTTTGGACCGGGGCCCCTGCGCAGAGAAGCTCCTAGTCTGGGGGAACACTGAAGAGAAGAAGGCTGACAGAGAGAAAAAGCCTTCCCCTGGAGCTGATGCCCTGAATTTGAACTTTTAGTCTACTTTAACTGTGAGGAAATAAATTTCTCTTTGTTAAAGCCAGCCACTTGTGGTATTTCTGTTGTAGCAGCACTGGTTGACTAAGACAGAACTAAAACTAAGGCAATCATGTCACTTAATCTACTCAAAACCCTCCAATGGTTTACTACCTCACTCAGAGAAAAAAGCCAAAGTCCTTAAATGGTTAAAGGCCCTATGCATACAGTTAAAGGGGCCCCCGTCCAAAGGGGCTAACTGTAACCTCTCTAACCCCATCTCCTATCATATGTCTCCTTTTTCTTATCTTGCTCATTCTGCTCCAGTTACACTGACCTTGCTGTTCCTTATCAGGTATATTCCCACCTCAGGACATTTGCATTTGTGATTGTCCTGCCTGAAACACACTTCTGTCAGACATGGTTAGTTTTCAAGTCTTTGCTCAAGCCTTTCCAGTGAAACTTTCCTAGGCCATCCTATTTAAAACTGCTCTGCTTCCTCCCAGTATTTTATATCTCTTCTTCTCTATTTTATTTTTTCTCCATAGCACCTACAATTTATGACATACTATTTATTAGTTTATTACCTGTCTCACATTAGAATGTAAAATCCACAAATACGAGATTGTTGACTGCTGTATTCTCAGTGCCTAGACAGAGCCTGGCACATGTAGGTGTTCAAATATTTGTGGAATAATTACATGTTAAGTAAGGTTTGACTGCTGTATCACCTGACACTTCTTTATGCATTCTTTAAAGACATACAGTTACTAACCCATTATCATGAGGGTAAGGAATGTGACTTATTTTTCAATGGTGGTAATTAGTCTATATTAATTTAACCCACTCAAAGGTACTCTGTAAGTCCTTTTACCAAACAACCTAATTTACTATCAGGGAATCACTGAGACACAGAATTCACTAGACTTATGATAATGAAACTATCTGACATATTATGGAATTTACTTAGAAACAAAGAAAATATTAGAAAATATTAAAATATTTTATACTTACTCATCTGACATAATTTTTTCGCCAGATGGTAGTCTCGGTCCATTTCTGCTCTCAAGAACTAGAAAACATTAAGAAATTCTTCAGATAAGTTGTTCGGAAAGAATTTAAATGTCAATTACAAACTCTCTAGAAAATATTCCATCAATGATTAATTATTTTGCTTTTAATATTTACACATTTTTCCAGGAGTGAGTCTCTAATCAATCATCAAGGATATTTAAGGACCTCTCATGGCAAGGTAAGAAGCCGTGATGGTGCAAGTCGTCTTCTAACCAAAAGGTTGGCAGTTAGAACCCACCCACTGCTCCACAGGAGAAAGACCTGGAGATCTACCTCTGTAAAGATTACAGCCTAGAAAACCCTATGGGGCAGCTCCACTCTGTCACATAGTGTTGCTATGGGTTGAAATCGACTGGACGGCACCTAACAACAACAACAACCTGGCAAGGTAAAAGGGGCATTAGTGTTTCAGTGGTAGACTTCTTGCCTTCCAGACAGAATGTAAAATCCACAAGGTTTGATTCCTGGCCAAGGTACTTCATGTGCAGTTGCCACACATCTGTTAGTGGCAGCTTGAGTATTACTATGATGCTGAATAGGTTTCAGTGGAGCTTCCAGACTAAGACAGACTAGGAAGAAAGGTCTGGTGGTCTCTTCTGAAAATCAGCCAATGAAAACCCTATGTATTATAATGGTCCAATCTGCAACCGATCATAGGGATGCTGCAGGACTGGGCAGTGTTTCGTTTCACTGTGCATGGAGTTACCATGGGTCAGGGGCCGTCACCAGCAACTAACAACAACATGGCAAGGTAACATGGAATAAATATGATACTTTCTGCTTTTCTGCAGTCATACTGTATATGTACTACCTAGCAATTTGAGAATAAGTAGGTTGATTGAACTAGCACAGACAGTAAAGAAAATCACTTTATGTTAATACCTCTTTGTTAATATTTCACCAATGAAGATTCAGCCTCCATTTGTGAACTGAGTCTATAATTACCTCGAAAATACTTAGACTTACAATTGTTTATTTAATATTTTCTAGCATTGTTCTTATATCATTCCATTTTGTTTTTTAATACCATTTTTATTGTTACAAAGTAATACATTTTTTTTTGCATGCAGGAAGATTAAATTTTAAATTTCCTCTCTGTGCCCAATTAAAAAGTACCTATACTCTTACCATCTAGAGATCTAATTTTTAACATTTTTATGTATATCCTTTTAGTATTTTTTCCATAAATGAACATACACAGATTTACAAGAATTGGGATTGTTCAGTAACTTTTAAAAAATAAACCATGTATCATGATCATTTTCTTCCCATGGCATTAAATATTCTTCTATACTATTATTTTTTACTTGCTTAGGCTACAATTTACTAAAATAATTGTTTATTCTATTACTAGTTAGACTGCTTCCATCCAAGATAAAAACTACACATTGCAGACTATTCTTGCTTGTGTGTGGCATACTCTGAACCACATGCAGCAACACTCATTTTACTCTGAAACAGACAGGGGCATCAAGTAATATAAAAGAGACACTTCTCACACATTTCCAGATATTTGATAAATACCCAGGAGCCATTTAAGAAATAGTTCTCTACCAGCTTTCTGAGTTTCTCCCATGAGTACTGAATTACTTATATTTTTCTAATGTATATATAACTCATTCAGATTTTTTTAAATAAATCATCACAATTCTATATTTCATCACAATTCTCACTTACTCACATATTAATAAATGTTATGTTCAATACATGCAACAGAACTCTCTTCTGTTTTTAAAATCTGTTCCTGTCTGAGGTTGCTTTCATTTTCATTCCTATTTGTGGTTTTCTTCCATATTAATTACAATATCTAGTAGTTTATCTATGTCTTTTTTTTTTTCAGAAAGCCAGCTCTTGAATTGATGTATTAATTTGATTTTTACTTTGAATTCATTTCAGTTTATTTAATGCTTTTTTTCTTGTTTTCTTTATGCTTATTTTGCTCTTTTTTCTAGTTTCTGGCATTAATATTTAGGTCATTCACTTTCACTCTTCCTTCAATCATCACCACAATCATCATCATCATCACCAAGGTATTTGAAGCTTTAAGTTCTCAAAAGTTTCAGTATTTAATGTTGTAGTTACTACTATTTTCCAAATAGTTTGTAAGTTTAGTTTGTTTTCCTTTTTAACTCAAGAGTCATTTAGGAGAATATCTTCTAGTTCTAAGTGGTTTTAACTTATTATTGTTATATTTTTGTTATTAATGTCTAGCTTAATTGATCATGAGTAGAGAATGTGACCAGTAATATGTGGATATTTATATTTTAAAAATCTTTTTAGTATATAAATTCTGAATATACACAGCAGAGAGAATAGCATAAACAAACCTATGTAACCAATTCTCAGCTTCAAGAATTATGAACATTTTGCCAATCTTGTTTTATCAATGTCACCACACATTCTTTAACCTCTTTCTGGACTATTTCAAAGTAGTTCACAGATACTACATTTTTTCATCCATAAATACTTTGCTATGTGTATCACTTTAAAATAAAAACACAACCACAATATTGTTATCACACCTAACAAAATTAACAAGAATGTCTTAATATCATCTAATATCTAGTCTACTTAATGAACTATCATGTTAATAATACTAGTATCACAAAAAGAGTAGTATATAACCAGTTTTAAAGGTCCCTTGCATTGAACTATTTTTTATTATTGTTGACATAAAATATATTTCATTTTAACAGTTCAAAAGGAGGTGGGGCCAAGATGGTGGAGTAGTCAGACACTTCCTGTGGTCCCTTGTACAACAAAGACCTGAAAAAACAAGTGAATTGATTATATATGACAATCTAGGAGCCCTGAACATCAAAGGCAAAGTTGAGGAATCAGCCTGAGTGGCAGAGGAAGGGAGAGACAGTTCAGAAGCAGCAAGGAGTTGCCAGACCTGACCTGGTGAGAGCTGGCAACCTTCAGGCTCGGGAGGCATGTTCCACATCAGGAGAGACCGAGCAGCAGAGAGTCTACTCGGGCCTCCAGAACCAGTGAAAAGCAGCGCTCAATCAGCAAAAGATAAGTACATGTGTCGGACCTACTGCGCGGATCAAAAAACACCCCCTTTGGGAAAAACCTCTCTCCCATTTACCTGCCCCCTCCCTGCTCTGCAGTGGGTCCTGGGCTGGCTTCAGCGATTGCTGAGTTCCCTGGGACGGAAGTAGGACCCGTCACGCACACTGAGCCATTCTCTCAGCCTTGGAGAGGGAACAAATTAACAAACAGGAAAAAATAATCTGCCAACTCCCCTAAGCCAGGACCTCAGGGTAGGCACAGCTCCTTCGCCTAGATGCACACATAAGGTATCCACAGACTTTGAATGCCTTTCACCCCTGCACAGACCTGTGTGGGCCCATTTCAACAGCATAGGCCCTCATTACCACAGTACAGCAGGGTACATATCTGAAGCCTAACTTCAGCTGTATCAGCTATATGGTGAAGTGGCAAGTTCGTGACATCTGACACTGCTCTATTAAGCAGGGTCCTCACCAAACCACATCAGGGGCCTGAGGACTGGTGGCTCCACCCACGCCACCTAGCCACCCGCGACAGGGGTCCAAGAATAAGTGGTGCCTCCCAGTCCTTACAGACAACAGCACTGGATGCTCATAGTCTGCCTGCAAAACCCACCCACCTACACACTTTAGGAAACAGGGACACGCTTTCCTCCCAGACACTCAGGGGCAGCCATTACCCTGCTGCCTTGCTCAGCGCATACCCCCCTACTGCAGCCAGACACCTGTGCCTACACCAATCACCCCTGCCTGTCTAGGACTGCAGGTAAGAGCCTGCACCACACACTTGGTGATCGACTACCTGGACACCTGAGCTGAATCCATACAAGAAAAGTAAACAGACTCCTGGGCTCACATACCTAGTAACAGATCTAACCACCTGGTAACAAGACATTAGAGCTTCAAAGGCGCCAATAATCAAACTAGCTCACACGAGCAGCCTATTTGGGGGTATCGAAACAAAACAAAACAAGAAGCTAGGATGGAGTAACAGTTCAAAAGGCAGTGAAAGTAGAAATTCATGCAATGAAGATTTAGCCAAAGTCCTTTATGAGAATTATTTAAAACCACAAAATTAAGCTGAAGAAAGGTTAAAAATTTTTGATCCTATATTATTTGTGACATTCAAAATAAAGAGATGGTTAACAACCAAACATAAAACTTGAACTCTGATGGGATCCTGATTGGGGAAGAAAAATCCAGGATAAAAAACATTTTAAAGACAAATTGGAAATCTGAATTTGGACTGGTTATTACATGAAATTACAGAATTATTGTTAATTCTCTTAGGTGTGAAAATGGCATAGTGATTATGATTACATTGAAGAATTAAATTATTTTTAAGGAGACTCAGGCTCCAGTATTAGGGGAAAGACATTTTATAATTTTTGCAATTTACTTTCAAAGGGTTCATCCAAATATATACATGTATACACCTTATCTATCAAAGAAGTGAGATAAAACAAATCTAGCACAATGTCAACAAGTGGTAAATCCAGGTAAGAGAGCATATAGGTGTTCATTGTTTTATTCAACTTTTCTCTAGGTTTGAAATTTTTTTCAAAATAAAAACTTAGGAAAATAAAAAAGGGATGCATTCTGAAAACAAAGTATCTTTAACACAGGTACAGTACAAGATATGAACATAAGCAATCTCATATTGTTAGAATTTTTATATGAAAATGAACTCATGGATTACTTTTATAATTAAATGTCAAAAAAGACAAAGAAGAGAAAGCAAAGGAGCAACTCCAGGCAATTTGGTTATGGCAGATAAGGTCTTTGAATGTTCCATAATTCATGAATGATTTAGATGTATAGTCAGCAGAAAGATTAGTTATGTGAAATTTTTCCAACACTTAGTATTATTTTTTTTTCTCCCTTGTTGAAAGCACCTTATAAAATTAGAGAAGTTTCAAAATTCCCTACATCTGCCTTATTCTAGAAGGAAAAATAGTAAATATGTCTGATTTTCTCACACGATCCCATGGCTAGCTTTTGGGTTAAACTGCCTAAAAAGCCAAGTATGTTAGCATTTTCTATGTGCTAAAAATCTAATTGAGGCTTCTAGCTGTGATGGAGTAAGACAGACCAGATTTACTCTTCCTTCTTAACCAGAAAACTGGACAAAATGTATGAAACAACAGTTTTCAGAAACTGGGCAGTAGCTATCACAGCACAGTGATCCCTGAAAAAAGGAAAACAAACAAGGTGAGTCCTACAATTGCCTCAACTTACTACTTACAGGCAGTTTGCAGGCTGTAGACAGAGAGAACCCAAACAGAGACCAGTGATCTCTCTGAGTCGAAATTACAGAGTTTGGAGTCCAGAGAGGCCAAGGTGGCTATAATTTGCAAAAGAGAAGGCAGAAAAACAAAGAGAAAGAGAGAGCTCCAGTGATCTGCAAAGTATCTCATTAAGTCTTTGGCTGGTCCTGATTTGCACATGAGTGTGAAGAAACTGAGGATGGGGAAAGAATCACTAGAATAAGTAGGTAGGATAATGACCAGACCTCACACAGGGCTGAAAAGAGCTCAAGTTCCCACCAGCTGGAGTTGAAAGACCTCCTAATACACACAGCATTATGAAGCACCCTCATTAAGGGTTTTATAGTATCTATACTATAATAGGTCTTTACACTATAAAGGCTGTTCTGAACGTCATCTTAACAAAACTCAATAGTGAAGTTCAAAAAGAGAAACCTGATTTCCAAGTAACTTAACTGTATCCCACAATAAAGTCCAACAATATTTAAATAAAAATTTTTTAAAAACTACCATCTAGGAACATAAAATTTACAATGATTGGGATTCAGTAAAAAATTACCAGCTATGCAAAGAAGCAGGAAAATATGAACCATAAGCAGAATAAAACTCAAATAATAGAAACTGGCCTAAAATTGACAAAGAAGATAGAATAGTAGACAAAGTGCTAAAATACTCATTATAAATACACAGCATGTGTTCAAGAAAGTAAACTAAAACATGAATATGATGAGGAGAGAAATGAAATATATATATCTCATGTTTACATGTATATAAAATCTAAATAGAAGTTCTAGACAATGGAAAGGAAAGTTCAGACTGGGAGAAAATATTTGCAAAACACATATCTGATAAAGAACTTGTATTCAAAATACACAAACAACTTTCAAAACTCAATAATAAGAAAACAAACAACCCAATTAAAAACTGGGCAAATGATATGAACAGACACCTCATCCAAGAAGATATACAGATGGCAGATAAATATATGAAAAGATGCTAAACATCATGTCATTAGGGAATTACACATTAAAACAATAACATAATACCACTACATACTTATTAAAATGGCTAAAATCCCGAAACCTGACAATACCAAATGCTAGGGAGGATGCTGAACAACAGGAACTCTCATTCATTGCTGGTGGGAATGTAAGATGACAGACAGTTTGTTAAACATAGCTAAACGAAGCTAAACATAGGCTTACCTTACCATATGATCCAGCAGTTGTGCTCCTAGGTATTTACCTGAATGAGTTAAAATTTACATCTATGCAAAAATCTGCACATGAATATTTATGGCAACTTTATTTCTAAATGCCAAATATTAACCAAGATGTCCTTCAAAAGGTGAATGAATAAACAAACTATGGTAAATCCATACAATGAACTATTATTCAGCAATATAAAGAAATGATCTATCAAGCCAAAAAAAAAAAAGATATGAAAGAAACCTTAAATACATTTTTCTCAGTGAAAGAAGCCAATCTGAAAAAGCTACACACTGTATGATTCCAACTATATGACATTCTGAAAAACGCAAAACTACAGAGACAGTTAAACGGTTGCTAGGGGTTTAGGGGTATGGAGGTAGGGATGAATAGGTGGCACATAGGGGATTTTTAGGGCAGGGAAACTATTCTGCATGATACCGTGATGGTGGATACATAACATTACGCATTTGCAAAACCCATAAAACTGTACAACCCCCAAATGTAAACCCTAACATAAACTATGAACTTTAGTTAACAATAATGTATCAATACTGGTTCATCAATTGTAACAAATGTACCACAATAATGCAAGATATAATAATAGGGAAAACTGTGAGTAGGGAAGAGAGGAGGTATATAGAAACTCTCTGTATTATCTGCTCAATTTTCTGTAAACCTAAAACCGTTCTAAAAATAAAGTCTAATATATAAATAAACAGACCATCAGTAACCTCTGGGACAATATTAAGTGGTCTAACATATGTGTAATTGAAGGTGAAGACAGGTCAGATAAAATATTTGAAGAATTAACAGTTGAACATTTTCCAAATCTCATGAAAACTGTAAAGTCATAGATCCAAGAATCTCAATGAACAGAGGAAACATGAAGAAAACCACACCAAGACCTAGCCTAATCAAACTGCCAAAACTAATAGTAGAGAAAATTTTTTAAAAAGGCAGACAAAATGACACATTATATACAGATGAATTATCATACACATCTCATCTGAAACTATGCAAGCTAGTAGACAATGGAGCAACTTTTTTTAAAGTACTAAACAAACAGAACAAATGAACAAACAAAAAGGTCAACATAAAATTTTATACCCAGCTATCTTATCTTTTATAAATGAAGATAAATTTAAGAATTTTCCAAACAAACAAAAGCTGAGAGAATGCATTACCATCACAACACATTCAAGAAATATTAATGGAAGTTTTTCCAGGCAAAAGAAAAATGATGTAAGATGGAAATTTGGATCCACACAAAGGTATAAGGAACACCAGAAATGGTGTATGTTGGGTAAATTAAAAATACTGTTTTCCAATTTTTAAAAATATTTTTAATAGGTAAGTGACCACTTAAAACAAAAATAACAGCATACTGTGGAGCTTATAACAAATGTAGAAGTGTATGACAACAACATTACAATAGATGAGAAGGTGGAAATGAAAGTGTACTGTTATGAGGTTCTTCCAACATATATGAAGGTGTGTAATATTAGTTAAAGGTAGGTTGTGATACTATAACCAGTGAGGTAAAATTGTTCCATTCTCCATAGAATCATCAGTAGATGTTTAGGTATACTTTTTTAGTGTGATGTTTCAGGCTTCACTGACTTTGCACATTCTGTACCTATACCAGGAACACCCTTTACACTTGTTTACCAGATGAATTCCTTCACATCCATCTTCCTTCAAGTTTCTAAGACTCTATTCATACCTCTTCCTCTAATAATCCTCCCCTTATCCCCTGTTCCTCCTTATTTTCCCAATAAATTAATCCTCCCTGTTCCTGGAGAACATTGTAAGTATTTTTTCTAGCATGTATTTCATTGCATATATGTGTGCCTGTTAGTTCTCAAAGGCAACGACATGTCTTATTTATCTCCATAACCCTAGCAACTAGTATGGTGCTCGTTATATAGACAGTATTCAATGAAGGTCATTTAAGAGTTTCATACCAAAACTTCTCTTACTCTGCCTCTGCCTTACCAGAATACTGTATGTCACTTCCAGAATCATCTTTCACTTCTAACCTGGCAAAAGTGGCAAGAAAGATGAGTAGCCAGGTAAGCATCTGTATGTGGACAGGAGTCTTTTCACTACGGTTTTTTTTTTTTTTTTTTTTTTTTGGTCTTCAAGACTGTAAACAATTTAGTTATTTAAATACTTTCAGATTTCTTAAATTATAAGGCACAAGTAAAACTTACTTCTGCCATTAACTCTAATGGGGCACGAGTATCCTTATTAGGGTTACCACTGTCATCATTGTCATTGGCATCATGTTCACCATCATCATCTGTTGATTCTGACAATTTATCATTAGTGTCCTGAGGGCAATATTTGTTATTTTTCTCCTGCTTTGCAATGGCTAGAGCTTTGTCCACCGTACCTAAAACAGAATAAGCATAGTTTAATCAATAAACATTGAAAAGTCCAGAAATTAAAAATGGTTACTCCTAAGTAATGATATAACGACTGTACATGTTTAACATATGGCTTCCTGCTCTGGAGTTTTTTTTTTATGACTAAAGAACACTGCAATAAACTTACCTCATTTCTATTTCCAAAAAAGGTAACAAAACTGCCAGTGACAGAGGAAAAACCCAAAACAGTATCACTGAGTTGATGTTGGTGCTAATTGTTTTTTTATTTGAAATTCTAATAAAAGACAAATAGTTTTGTTAGGAAGAAATATAATTTCAAGAGAAAATAAGTTAATACTGACTCAACAGCAGCAGGTTTTGGGTTTTTTTTTTTTTTTTTTTTTACATTCTCCAATATGACTTGTAAATGTTCCCTTTTAGAGGTCTAG